AACTCTGAACGATGTCTAATAATTGCATTTATTTACAAAAATATCACCGATCATTTTTAACGTTGAATATTCAGTGGTTGGACGTTGAACGGGTGACGTTATATGCTGTTTTTGCACTAGTGTGATGATGGAGAAAATGTGAAAGACAAAATCTGGATCATGTGATGAAGGGATTGAAAATAGAAGATGGAAGCTATAGAATAAGAAAGTAATGGATGATGGAGAAAATGTGAAAAACAAAATCTAGATCATGTGATGAAGGGATTGAAAATAGAAGATGGAGTGATGAAAATATGATGAAAGTGATGGAATTCACATGATGATAGAATGGTGAGTGTGAGGAAGAAGATTGTTGGGAATCCAAGGGTGAGTCTAAGTCTCATATTGGATAGAAATGAGAAAGTAGAGCACAATATAAAGATGAAAGACCCATTAACCCATTGCCTTAAGGTTTTGGGTAGAAAATGTGTCAATCCCTTATATGGTTGGACTTAGATCTCATTGGTGTTTGTCTCTCCCTGGTGAAAACTCCTCATCGTAGACTCAACAGTGGTATAAGAGTCGATGGTTTTTCTTGGTGACCGGCTCAAACGGTGGTAATGATCCCTATGTGTGATTAGTGAAAAATGTGTTGGCCTTATTAACCTATTGACAATTGAATAAACCATGTAGGTCTAAGTGATAAAACATATGGGTTAAGTTTCTAATCTAATAAATAATGAAAACTTTCTTATATTTTCAAAGGGTTTTATCATAAAATATTCTTAATTATTAATATTGTAATACATTTATAAATAAATAATATCACATTTCTAGATGTTGGTTTAATCATTCTGAAGTCCCTATTTTGTTTTTTTCAATTGGATCCCTAAATATGCAAAATCAGTGCAATTGGGTCTTTACATTAAATTGGGTTAACGAGGTAAAATTAAGCTGAGTTGTCATTGTGATGTGGAATCATTAATTGATGTGACACATTCAGAGCATGTTACGTGGAATATGTGTAATTAAAAAAAATGGGTTTCTGAGAGTTGAATTGAGGGATCAAAAAATTAGGGCCCATGAAAATGAAATTAGGGCTTATCATCTTCAACCTTTCCTCAAATTACAAACCCTAACGATTTTTGGGGAGAAGATGAAGCTCGCGATGAAGGGGATTGATTTTATAGGTTTGCGATTGGGTTTGGAAGTGCATGGCAGCACGATTCAAGAGGGTTTTGGTTAGTTCTGTGTTTGGATTTCAAAACCAGGTTTGAGCCTTTCATTTTCGGCGGTGCATGGTGGTTTCCTATCCGAATTGGGTGCATGTTTGGATTTCATGGTGAGGCCCAAGCTGTTGGGATTTTCTATGGTTTGTGTTGCAAGTTTTCGAATGGATTCGCGAAGAAGGTGAGTTAAAGGTGAACTCACGATGAAGAAGAAGATTCGCGATTGAGTTTTCGTAAAAGAGGGTTTCATGGCAGCATGTTTCACGATTCTGGTTCTCTGGATTCTCCTCTCTTTGCAAGTGCTCGCGGCTTTGGCTTTGCAAAACCGTAGGTGGAAAACGTGATGCGATTTATGGTGGTTGTTTGAATGTTGTGAAGCCCGAGATGTGGTTCGTGTGGTAGCCTGAATGAAGACGAACTCATGGTTATGGTTATTCACAGTGAGATGTGAGAATTTTGCGAGACCGTTGTGGCACGATAAAGTGAATTCAATAATTGGGGTTTTCTGTTTGGGGTTTTAGGGTTCATCTTAAATTGAGATTTATTTATGTGTTGTGGTGGAAGGAGATGAACTAATGCGATTTGTGATAGAGGAGAAAGGGGATGAAGGTTCTGTTGCATTTTGCAATTTTGCAATTTTGGGTTTCTTGGATTTTTCTAGGTCTAGTTGTCGTTACCAGGTTAGCGTGGCACTCCGAAAAAAAGTTGCGGTGGTAGATGGTGCGGTGCTGACGACATTGGTTATGTTCTCGAGTGCAATTGTGCGAGGAAGATGAATATGGTTTTGTGATGGTGGTGGTTGTGTGGCGACGGATGGAGGCTAGTAGTGCATTTTTCGGTGGCTACGTACCATAGATTATTAGTGTTTCCGATTTGGAGAAAGGTTAAAGATAATGACGTGCATAATAGGGTGACAGTTCAGCTTAACATGATGACTCTACCACATCAATTAATGATTTCAACTCACAATGACAAATCACCTTAGTTTTAACTCTAAGACTGTCAATTTAGAGATAGAGATCCAATTACACTGATTTTTTTCACTTTTAAGATCCAACTGAAAACATTAATAAGAAAGAGTTATTAAGAAAACTTGACAGAGATTATCAAAATTAAATCTTAAATATTACTCATTATAAATATTTAAATGTTACATAGAAACTTGCGATACGGAGAAAGAGAGACTTGCATATGAAAAAGTGGAACAATAAAAATAGCAACAAAGATGCAGGTTTAATCCCATTATTACATCATTTTACATCCTACTTCAGTACATTCCAAAAATTTTAGTACTTATAATTTTTACTATTTTTAAAACTTAAATTTAAATTTTTAAAAATCGTAAATGACTTTCATCTTTTACATTAAATTAATTTTAACAATTAATTTCAATATTTTGAAATTCAAATTTAAATATCTAAATAACACAATTCCAATATTAAGAATAACAAACAATAATAACGAAGAAATTATTGTATAGTCGTGATTATTTTAATAATAAAATAGAGATTTAAACTATCAATCGCAATCACCTAAACAAAAAAAATTATCAGCCTACCAACCACAAAAATGAAAGAAAAAATACACTTTGAATCAATAACGAGTTACAAAAACTTTCCCGGCCGCCATTACTAAAAGAAGAGAAATATCTAGAAAGAGAAGAATCTTATTTTTCATTAAAAGATAATCTAAAATTATCGATTAATATATATAGTAAGTAACGTCCAAAATTCGTTAATATTTGTTTTCCGATGAATTTATCGATTAACTAAGATTCAAAATTTCAAAGTATAAAAATATTTCATTTTTCTACAAAATTATCATCACACTTTTTATAAACATTATTAGATAAATTATATGTGATGATGTTGGCCCTCTTATACTTGTGACAGTATAATTTGAGTATGTTTTATGAAATATACGTTAGCTGCTGATATATAATTGCATGCACTACCGTATTATGTACGTATAGTATAGAGAAAGTAACGTTATGTGTAAGAAATGAGTCTGAATATGTTGGTATTCTTTGACGGGAAACACGTTGGAAGCGCATAATGCTTAACTTTATTGTTTTTTCTTCTTTCTGAACTTCTTTTCCTTCTTTCTTTTCCTGTCTTCTCTTTTTCATCTTCAACATTCTCATATGAAACACCTCAACCATTGCAAATGCATACAAAACAAATCATAGAGAGAGAGAGAAAAATTTTAGTACTTATTAAGGATCGATTAATTAAAATACTAATAAATTTAAATTACTTTATTCTTATCATTATGACACTATAGCCACACAAGATATTTTTTTTTATAGTTCAACCTTTAAAAGATTGTTATTATTCCATGAATGTACATAAAACATAATTTAATAAAGATGTTTATCAAGTTTTGTGAAATGCCACCATAATCTGGCAAATGCTTATCAAAAGCAGTACTTTGATTTTCTATGTTGAAATTTACAATTCTATTGGGAGAGAAAGTTTTTAAAATTTAACTAAAATGCACTGTGAATGCTTTCATATCTTAAATAGATTAATGTTAATATTTTTAAATTTTTACCTATCAGTTATATTGTAGTTATATTAAAACAAATTATAACTTATTATTAAAGTTCACAAATTTGTATTTGTATTAATTATGCATGTATTTGTTATCGTGATACTGAAACATGTTGAAGCTCAAAATTATATAAATATAGAATAATGGTCGGTTGTCAATTATATTATGATATTTTAAGTTTGACTCATTGATAAATTAATAAATAATATTTAATTTTCAAATCAACGTAAAAGAAATGTTAATAAATTCATTTGACTGGAAAATTATAAATTTTTATAATTTCTAAAACAATAATAGTAAATTGCAACAGAAAAACTATTGAAAAGAAAAAAAATACAATATTTTATCTAGAAATGGTAAAAAAATGAAATTAATATTTTATTAAAATGAAAGTTAAAATAATATTAATTGCATATTTAAATTTTTAAAAGAAATAACTACTTTATTATAGCTACAATAATTGATGAGTGAACATGATATTTAAAATCAGCTTTGTGATGGGCCATGCATCAGAGGAAAGCCCAGTGATCATTACTGAATCTGAATTAAATCAATCATTACTCCAACAAATCGATTAGAGAGGAAAATAAATTCAATAATTAACATAAGAGATTACCTTTCTTTAATCACTGCTCATAAATTTAAAACCAAAATTAAATTTGATTATAGAACATGTTTGGACAAAGTTTTCTTACAAATATTTTCAGAAGAAAAGTGAAATATATGAAATAAATTTTGAATAGGCTAAATTAGTTTATATATAAGTTAATAAGTTAAAAATATTTGTACAAATTTATTTATATTCTTGTTTCTAATTTGTGTATATAAAATAATTTTAATTAAAGAGAAATTGATCTATCTTTATTATTTAATAATACACTACAAGAAAATTTATTAAATAGAAACTAAATTTGAGAAATAAAACTGTTATTATATTAATTAAATTATACAATTTATTGAACTAAAATTATTAAATTTCAAAATAAATTTTATTATTAATAAAAAAATATAATTAATTTATGAATTAGAGTTTAAATTCCTTTTTAACATTTTAACATTAGTTACCCGTTTTAACTACTTACGTAACTAATAATATCTTGTCTGGTAGGTACTTAGTAACGTATATGTATATATCTGCATGCATGTACTATATCAGTCTTCAAACCACCCTCAATCATGTCAGTGTTGCTCTTGCTTTATTTCACTCTTTTTCTTCTTTTTCTTTCCATCACTATCATACTTGTAAGTGCGTGACCATAAAAAATCTTTCGCTGAATGCTTATTAATGCAAAATTTGCTTCTTTCTTTAGTTTTGCGCTTCAACTTCCTGCTTTTTTCCTGGACTAAGTAAAGGAAACAGAGAAGAAACTCTGCAACATTTACATGGCTAACAAGGTTCATGTTCCTTTATAACCTTCTACTCTGCCAATTTCTCTTCTTTTTCCTCACCCCAACACACCCACTTCACAGCCTTTAACTTTGTCAGAAGCAAAACATAAAAACATGTTTATTTAGTCTTCCTTTTTTAAACTTTCTTTGGGTTTCGTTTTAATCTTCAGAAGAGAGAGAGTTTTTTCCTCAGTTTTCCAAAGAAAACTTTGAAGTTAGTTGTTTTTGGATTGAACAAGTCTTGCTATCTTTGTAAGTCTATGTTCAACATGCAGTAGTTATTCATATCAGCCTTTCAGTTACTTGTTCTTTGATCAAATTTTCCTATTACTCATTATTTCATTGTATGTAGCATTTTTAACTCTAGTCAATTGTTCCACTTGGTTCAAGTCAACCTCTCTCTCTCTCTCTCTCTCTCTCTCTCTCTTCTTTTTTATATTATATATTATATAATATATATATTTATATATAAAATATATATATATTATTATTATATTATATTTAGATACACACAGAGTTAAGTGTAGTTTTTTTTCCAAATTCTTTTTACTCTAGTTGTGTATTTACACACACAAACGTGTAGTTTGGTGTTGTTTACTTCATTTTTGTTGTGTACTTTACTTAATGACTTGATGAATTTAAGTAAATATTTAAGTTGTTCATGGTTTCTTGTTAGTGCAATAGCTTTGAATCTGTAAGTTATGAAATTTTTTTCTAAAAAAAAGAGAAAGGCAAAACCTTTTTCACTAGTTACATTTTGCACTTGTTTAGAGTTTTTACTTTGAAGTTGGATTTTGCAGGCCTGAATATTCTATGGTACAAGTGAAGTGTTTTTCCTCTTATAAAGCATAAATATTCTCAGTGCATGTGGCAGTAACTTAATCATGACTACAAAGGGACAGAGATTTGTTAGGTTCGTTTGCTAAAGCTTCGTTTTGTATTTCTGCAATTTTTACTTTTTTAATTATTTTTGGTACATTTTGGTGTTTTAACTTCAACACTCTTTGCAGACTTTTAGAATGATATATTCTGCCTCTGCATATTCATTTTCCTTTTGTACCAGAAAGAAAGTTAATCATTTTTTCCATCCAGAAAAACATCACTTTTGATTTTTGATTTTTCTATAAAAAGAAAAGGAGCAGTGGCATGTACCTACTTTAAAAGATGCTTCTCTAATGTATGACAAATTGACTCTATACAGTGAAATCAATAATTGGAAAATGATCTTGTCAATACTCCACTATTGCAAACACTATCCTTTGTTCTTAATTTCCTATTCCTACCTTGAACTGCTAGTAATGGAATTTGATCATTATACTTTGGTAATCAGCACTAAACCATTGTGTTGGCTGCTTATGAGATTTGATATTACGATTTTTTGTGGGAAAAATTTGATGCTAACATGTGCTTGATTCTCAACTGAGTTTTATATTCCTGTGTCCAGGTTTAAGGATTGGAAGTCATTTTCATCTTCAAGTATCGAGCACAATGATTCCACTAGTGACGGATTTCACAAGAAAAAAGTTCAATCATGCGAAAGCTCTGTCAGTGATGAATCAATCAGAAATTTGTCCTGTAGGAGGCATGTTCTTCATCCACAGGGGGCAACACTTCAAAAGTGGAACAAAATTTTTGTAATCACAAGTGTGATGGCAATCTCTGTGGATCCACTTTTCTTTTACATCCCAGTGATTGATGACAGTAAAAAATGCCTTGATTTGGATGGAACACTCAAGATCACTGCCAGTGTTCTCCGTACATTCTTTGATCTTCTCTACATTCTTCACATTGTCTTTCAGTTTCGAACCGGGTTTATTGCCCCTTCCTCTCGTGTGTTTGGAAGGGGTGAGCTTGTTGATGACCCTTCAGCCATAGTGATGAAATACTTAAGTTCTTACTTCACCATTGACATTCTGTCAATTATTCCACTTCCTCAGGTTTTTCTTTTCTCTTCTACACTCTTTCTTACTATATCATTCCAAAAGTACTTTTTACTGTATCATTACCTGTAATTGAAGTGCCAATTACCCCATAAGAATATTTCATGGAGAATCACTAGGCATATCGGTCTGAACCTGCAACATCAAGACTCTAAATATATATAAATTTAATTAAAATAAAATAACTGTGTAAACAATCTTTTACACTATCTCATCCTGCGACAGATCGATGATAAGTTTGTTAACTTTGTAATGACTACTTTAAAAGTCACTATAAAGATGATTATTGATTAGTTGACTGACAATTAAACTCAATATATAACTAATTCCTTGGATGGTTTCGGTGCCTTGTGATATATTTACACACACACACACTCATTCCTTTGGGTATTTTCATATGACAAGTACCATGGTATCCAAAATTAAGGCAACTGCAACAATAATTTTAAGTTCAGTTTTATGTGAAAGACATAAGTTGATGCTGTTTTAACACTTTTAATGTGTTCTTAGATGGTCATTTTAGCTATGATCATATCCCCAACATGCTCAGCTCCATACGTGGGAAAGGATTTGTTGAAGTATACAGTAATAGCCCAGTACGTGCCAAGGCTTCTGCGGATCTACCCTTTATTCAAAGAAGTAACAAGCACTTCTGGCATATTGACTGAGACAGCATGGGCTGGAGCAGTTTACAATCTTTTTCTCTACATGCTAGCAAGTCATGTGAGTTGATTTTTTCACTTAGGTTCATAACACCTCACCTTGTTCCTAGTATTCATGCTATGTTTTATGAGCATCAACTACATGTGGCATATGTACCAGGTGGTTGGAGCTTTCTGGTATCTGTTTTCAGTAGAATCAAGGGTGAGGTGCTGGCGCAGGCGGCTGAAGAATAATATTACTTCCTATCATGAATCCTACCTTAGCTGTGGATCTGACAATTCTACTATTCAATCACTTCTCCATCATTCTTGCCCTGTCACTGATCCTGAAAATATTATAGACCTGGAAGCTTTCAATTTTGGAATTTTCATAGAAGCTCTAAAGTATCGAGTGGTAGAATCAAGTACTGATTTTCATCACAAGTTCTTCTACTGCTTTTGGTGGGGTTTGCGCAGTGTAAGGTAGGTCAATAATCTTCTCTACTGATACTCTTGACTGCATATGCAACATTTCTTAAGAACTTAATTTAATGTACCTGTGTTCTTAATTTTGTTGCCAACTTTTCTATCTAATTGCCGATGCTTAGTGCATGTTTAATTTGACCCTCGGATCGTATCAAACATAACTCTAACGTAAATCCGTGCATCCACATGCAAACAAGCTGAAATTACTTTGAACAATTTCTATTTTTCACATGTGGATCCAAGGTTCCAAAGACCAAATCAAATACATACTTGGTGTTTGTAACATCTTATGAAAGCATAATACAACCTAAGGATTAAGGCTAAAAGCATGCCAAGGTCATTTTTGTTTGTGACTTTTTGCAGTTCAGTTGGGCAAGGTCTCGAGACAAGTACTTATGTAGGGGAGATAATCTTTGCTATCTCCATTGCTGTCTTTGGATTGGTTCTATTTGCATCACTTATTGGAAACATGCAGGTACTGTGAGATGAGATAATAGACAAGAGAATACAGTGATCTTGTAACATTGGTGAACCTTAAATATGAAACCAACTTTTCATCAATTTTGAGTGTTATTGAAGAGTTAGTTTCATCCTCCCACCTTTCTCATTTGTTAAATTCATTGGTTCTGTACTTGTGTTGATTATTGTTGCAGAAATATCTACAATCTACCACTGTCAGAGTTGAAGAGATGAGAATCAAAAGGAGGGATGCAGAACTGTGGATGTCCCACCGTATGCTGCCTGATTTCCTGAAGCAAAGAATCAGACGGTATGAACAATACAAATGGCAAGAAAATAGGGGTGTTGAGGAGGAGACATTGATTCGCAACCTCCCCAAAGATCTCAGAAGGGACATAAAGCGCCATCTTTGTTTAGAACTACTTAAAAGAGTGTGTATCATCCATAACCATCTCTCGTTCACTCAGTTCTTTCCCTTAGACAAAGCATATATATTACTTAGATGTTTCTGGTGTTATTTTTCAATCAGAATCAGAATTGGAGTTTCAATTCAATAACTTACACTATCTTTAATGAATGTTCTTATTATGCAAATTAAATTATGTACGAAACTTCTGGTAAGAGATATACACAAAATCACTCAAGCAACTGAATCCTAGTTTTTTCTTTTCTTTCTCTTCCTTCCTATGCATACTTAAATGTGTGTGATGAGCATTCTACCTTCTTATTGGTGTAGGTTCCAATGTTTGAGAGCATGGATAATCAGTTGTTGGATGCACTGTGTGATAAACTAAAGCCAGTCCTGTACACAGAGAGAAGTTACATAGTCCGTGAAGGGGATCCAGTTGATGAAATGCTGTTCATCATGCGTGGAAAACTTGCAACTGCCACAACAAATGGTGGAAGAACTGGTTTCTTCAATTCCTCTGAGCTCAAGGCTGGTGATTTCTGCGGAGAAGAGCTTCTGACATGGGCCTTGGACCCCAACTACTCCTCAAATCTACCCATTTCAACTAGAACTGTGGAAACTATATCAGAAGTTGAAGCCTTTGCTCTCATGCCTGAGGACTTGAAAAGTGTTGCTTCCCAATTTCGACGTCTTATAAACAACAAACAACTCCAACACACTTTCAGGCAAGGATTCACCTGGGTTAAGCCTTTTCCGCTCTGATCATTAATGCGTCATTATATTTTAAGCAATGCCATCTTCTTTGTTAATTCTCCTTATACTTCTGAAAGCATTACACACAAAGAACATACGAATAGATGATATAAGCACTAATTATGTAAAAGTATCTGCTATAACACAACCACAACCTTAAAAAATGTTAATTCTGATAACAATGATAATCTTAAAAGTCATGTCAAAGATGACTTTTGATTAACAGATAACTTAAACCATCTGAAATCTGTGTTGACAAATCTTTAAAGGGAATTGTTATTATATTACTATAAAAGTCTGCATACATATAATTCAATTAGATGACAGTATGACAGTTTTTGGTTATTGCAAAGAACATGAGATTATTCTTACATGTGTTTGTTTTTGGTTCAGGTTCTATTCCTTGCAATGGAAGACATGGGGTGCATGTTTCATACAAGCAGCATGGCGTAGATATAGAAAAAAGAAGGCAGAGAGGTTGTTACGTGAAGCAGAAGAAAGGATACAAAATCTGGAAAACGAAGAAGGGTCTTCACCTAGCTTTGCTGCCACTGTATATGCATCAAAGTTTGCATCAAATGCATTGCGCCACCTCCGAAGTGGTAAACGCACCAGAGTGCCACAGCCACAGAAATTGCTACCCCTGATGCCTCAGAAGCCTTCTGAGCCAGATTTCACTGCTCTGAAAAACTAGTTTTTTAAGAACATTTACAGCAAAACGTGTTGTAATTTCAGTTCTGTGCATGTGCTAGCAATTGTAGGATCTTAAGTTACTAGCAAGTTGTGTTTTAGGATTTCCTATTTGACAACATTATTATGTGCACATAACAGTGTGTAAAAATATTGAGTGTGTTTGGGTGAACCACTTCAAAATTCTGAACCTCCAAATCCAATTTCTATTAACTCCATATTTTTCTTAATTTTTCAACTCTTTCCAACTCCTTATACTCTATTTTATTTAAATATTCTCCACACTCCCTATCTCTTGCTTTTATTATCAACTAAACTCTTTAACAAACTCTACAGAAATTAATTTTAAATATAAAATATGTTTTTAATATCTATTTGATACTAAAACATAAGTAGTATCTAAGTCTTCTTTTAACACGAGTTATATTGTAAACATAAATATTTGTCTTTACTATTATTATAAAAAATGATAAACATTATTAATAATTATAATTTTATTATTATATGAATAATAACATTGTTTATTATTATAGATAATATACAGTTAATTATTTTAAATAATATATTTAAATTATTTTAAGTTATAAAAAATAATAAATAAATGAAAAAAATGACAGAAGCTAGAAGAGTTATAAGAAATAAGAAAAGAGAAAAACAATTTTCACATTAACATTATCACAATTTATTACATCAAAATTTATTATTTTAACAATACTTACCACAACATACACATGCCATTGAGAATTTTATACCTATACACATTAGTTTATTCTTTATTATCTATTTTTTTATATAAACACAAAATATATTTTGCTAATGAGCATTATGCTAATCTTAATATTAAAGTAGTTTATTAAATGGTGATGTAATGGTCTCCGAAGATAGAACAGTATATGAGAAAAAGCAAAAGATCTTGTGGAGAAAATAAAACAGTAAAGAAGAGCTTTTGGAAGAAAAAAAAGTTGGCATTTTACTTTGACATGATACAGTAGTGTTCAGTGATGTTTTTAGCTTGTTTCCTTGGTTGTGTTGTCTCACTTGTATGATGAAGCGGGCTTTCTTTCTCCACATCTTTTTTTTTTTTCAAGACTTTTCTAAATTTCTATAACCTTTTAGTTAGGCTAAAAAAGTTGAGAGTTGTTCCCTACATCATCACATATTTGTTTCTGCATCACCATATTCCACGATTGTCCTTCAGTAATTCTAACAACGCCTAGTGTCATGAATTCATTGGCTTGGATCTATTTTATTTTTTGTTTTAAGAAATGATGTTAAAATTGAGGAGGGTTTCAAAATTTTGGAATTCCAAATATGCCCCTTGTCCTATTTCATTAGAAATTAATGTTCTCTGTGTTCTTGTTTTCGTTCTCATTCTCCCTTTTTTTTGTTGCTCTCGATCTTGGTTGTCGTTCTTCTTATACGTTTTCTTTGCATCTCTTCGTTTTGCTCAACATCGTCCTCTTTGTTGAGGGTATTGTGCGAAATGGCAAGTTCTGGTAACCATGGTCCTTCGAACAAGGTAAATGCGTTATTCCTCCTTTTTCGTCATTGCGTTTTTGGTTTGGCTTTTGGGTTTTCCCTTTTGTGCTAAAACTTTTGTTGTTTTCGTTTTAGGAATTTGCCCTTTTGCTTATTTTGTTTGTCGTTGATGCAGAGAAAGTTTTATGCGTGCTTTAGACGAGCAAGACAATCTAATTGCAGAACTTAAACGGAGGGTTGTTGTCCTATAGGCAGAGTTGGCTGAAGAGAAAGCTAGAAGAACAAATAAAGATGATGGTGGACAGAGTGTGCCTCGTGCAGAACCCTTCATGAACAATGAATTTGTTTCCCCAGGAGGCATGTCCACCAATCCACCTCCTATGAAGACGTATGTAGGGTCGGATCACGAAGGCGTTACAAGAGTAGAGCGCTTAGGACTCCTGGAGATGGATTGTTTAGAATAAAAAATGAGTGATATATTGATTGGTTAAAAGAATGTAATACAACATTGAAATAGATGGACAAATTGTGTAATGTAACCTATTTTGTTCAATGATATAAAATATGCATCTTTGCTTGTGTTACTTATTATTAATGTTAATTGAATTCCTTTTTTATTAACATTGTGAAATGAGCTTTTATTTGGAATGTGAATGAATAAAGTGGCCATTTTGATTGAGTATTCATGTATGTGATGGATGAATGAAACAATACTTGTGAGTACAGGGTAGGAAGTCATGTTTTGGCAACCCATGATGGAGGAAAGGAACAATGTTTATGAGATGAGCAACTTGGGTGAAGTCCACAAACTTTTGAACCAAAAAATTGACTTGTAATTGTTTACAGGTTCTTAGTAAACGATTCCAGGACAGAATTTAGATTTTGTACAAAAACTTGAACTATAGGAACCAACTGTGGTAACCTAGGTGACCATAGTCAAACTTTTTCATATTTTGGCATAAATCCCATGGTTCTCACTTGATTTTGTTGTTTAAGTGTGAGTATAGGGTGAGAAGTGATGTTTTGGCACCCCATGATGGAGGAAAGAAACAATGTTTATGAGATGAGCAACTTGGATGAAATAACATGCTGTCAACTTTGACCTTTGCTAGCTATTTTACTGATAACTTTTCCCACCGACCTCCAAATGATGTGATTCTTTTTTATGAGAAACTAGACTCAAAAATCTTTCCAATGACTACTAATTTGTAATTTTTGGACATCTGAGTTGGTACAGTTTATTCTTTCAAGTTAGCGTTTCATATATTCTTGCCAACTCTAACCTTTTCTTGTTCTTTTGCTCATAACTTTCTTCACCGAACTCCAAATGAGTTGATTCTTGTTTTGTTGGAATCTAGATCAAAGACCTTTCAAATTATGCCTTGGAAATCAAGTTTACACCTTTTTTGACACTGTAATCGATTACAAGGACACTGTAAACGATTACACGAACAAAATCCAAGATTTGTACATAAACTTGTACTGGAGGAGTCAGCTGTGGTAACCTAGGTGACCATAGTCAAAATTTTTAATTTTTTGGCATAAATCCATTGGTTTTCACTTGATTTTAGTGTTTAAGTGTGAGTAGAGGCTGAAAAGTCATGATTGGGCACCCCATGATTGAGGAAAGGAACAATGTTTATGAGATGAACAACTTAGATGAAGTCTTGAAACTTCTGCACCCAAAAATACACTTGTAATCGTTTACAAATTCTTGGTAAACAATTACACGAACAAAATCCAGGATTTGTACATAAACTTGTACTGGAGGAGTCAGCTGTGGTAACCTAGGTGACCATAGTCAAAATTTTAATTTTTTGACATAAATCCGATGGTTTTCACTTGATTTTAGTGTTTAAGTGTGAGTAAAATCTGGAAAGTCATGTTTGGGCACCCCATGATTGAGGAAAGGAACAATTTTAATGAGATGAACAACTTAGATGAAGTCTTGAAACTTCTGCACCAAAAAATACACCTGTAATCGTTTACGGATGCTTGGTAAACGATTACACGAACAAAATCCAGGATTTGTACAGAAACTTGTACTGGAGGAGTCAGTTGTGGTAACCTAGGTGACCATAGTCAAAATTTTTAATTTCTTGGCATAAATCCATTGGTTTTCACTTGATTTTAGTGTTTAAGTGTGAGTAGAGGCTGGAAAGTCATGTTTGGGCACCCCATGATTGAGGAAAGAAACAATGTTTATGAGATGAACAACTTAGATGAAGTCTTGAAACTTCTGCACCCAAAAATACACTTGTAATCGTTTCAAATATTTGGTAAACGATTACATGAACAAAATTCAGGATTTGTACAGAAACTTGTACTAGAGGAGTCAGTTGTGGTAACCTAGGTGACCATAGTCAAACTTTTTAATTTTTTGGCATAAATCCCATGGTTTTCACTTGATTTTGTTGTTAAGTGTGAGTATAGGGTGAGAAGTGATGTTTTGGCACCCCATGGAGGAAAGAAACAATGTTTATGAGATGAGCAACTTGGGTGAGATAACATGCTGTCAACTTTGACCTTTACTGGCTATTTTACTGATAACTTTTCCCACCGACCTCCAAATGATGTGATTCTTTTTTTATTAGAAACTAGACTCAAAAATCTTTCCAATGACTACTAATTTGTAATTTTTGGACATCTGAGTTGGTACAGTTTATTCTTTCAAGTTAGCGTTTCATATATTCTTGCCAACTCTGACCTTTGCTTGTTCTTTTGTTCATAACTTTCTCCACCGAACTCCAAATGAGTTGATTCTTGTTTTGTTGGAATCTATACTCAAAGACCTTTCAAATTATGTCATGGTAATCAAGTTTAGGCCTTTTTTTCCATTGTAATCGATTACAAGGACCCTGTAAACGATTACCATAGTGTTTTTTCTGTAGATTAGCTATGCACTTGTCCAACTTGGTCCCCTAAGTAAGAATGACTTCTTCTCCACTTCTTGGGGTCACCTCCCATCACTTTCCACTCTCTACCACCACTAAAACACCAACACCAAGTAAATACAAGTGGACTTGTGCCTGAAAGTAACAATTTTTGCCAATGATCACCCATGACACCACAGCTGACTACTTCAGTTCAACTTTCAGTACAAAACAGTGATTTCTCTCGTGTAATCGTTTACCAGGCCACTGTAAACGATTATAACAGTGTTTTTTTTGTAGATTAGCCATGCACTTCTCCAACTTGGTCCCTTCAGTAAGAATGACTTCTTCCCCACTTCTTGGGGTCACCTCCCATCACCTACCACCCTCTACCACCAGTCAAACACCAACACCAAGTAAATACAAGTGGACTTGTGCTTTAAATTAACAGTTTTTGCCAATGATCACCCAGGACACCATAACTGACTACTTCAGTTCAACTTTCTGTACAAAACAGTGATTTCTCTCGTGTAATCGTTTACGAGGCCACTGTAAACGATTACGACAATGTTTTTTCTGCAGATTATAGCTCTGCACTTGTCCAACTTGGTCCCCTCAGTAAGAATGGCTTCTTCCCCACTTCTTGGGGTCACCAAACATAACCTCCCAACCAGTAATGACCCTTAAATTCACTTGTATGGTTTTTTGGTCAACAAATTCCACAACTTATATTCATTTCTGAAACCATTGCCTACATTTTAAATACTTATTAATATTCTGCGTTCTTTTTTCAATATAACACCTTTATTC